CTGTAACATATATGTAGATGACCTAGTACAGACCTATGCAGGTTCTGTGACCATCATTTCCAGCTCTGTGAGCCCCTATGAGCCCTTCTTAGTTGATTTTGTGGGCCAGGTTCTCATGGTATCCTTGAGCCCTAAGACTCCTACAGTCTTTCCTCACTATCTTTTGTGGAATTCCTTGAACTCCACTTAATGTTTGGCTGTGGGTCTATGTATCTGCTCCCATCAGTGGCTGGCTAAAGCCTTTCTGATGATGATTGGGCCAGCACTGATCTGTAAGTATAGCAGAGTATCATTAGGAATCATTTCATTGACTTGATTATTTATTTATTTATTTATTTATTCTTTTTTTTTTTCTTTCTACCAGTCATGTTTGGTTCTGTCCTAGGTCTCTGGGCTATCGAGTCTTTGGTTCCTAGCCATCCAGGCAGTGTCTAGCATGGGCTCCCTTTTGTGGCATGGGCCTCAAGTTAGACCAGTCCTTTGTTGGCCATTCCCACAAGTCCTTCACCACCATTACCTCAAAACTCCTTGCATGCAGGACAAATTGTAGGTCAAAGATTTTGTGGCTGGGTTGGTGTCCAGTCCCACCACTGGAAGCCTTGCCTGGTTATAGAACTGGCCATTTTATCTAATGTCCTTTCTAAAATCCAGGAAACAACACCACTAAATCCCACAAAGGTAAACCCTGCAAATCTGACCATTGCTCCAAGCACATCCTGTTCTCAGAAAAGATCCTTGGTAATGTAATTGAGAATTGTATACCCAAAGGGCAGGTGGTTAGGGAGACAGTACCACATAGGAATTTCAAAATGCTCTATTCTGTAATTGGTAGTGAAGCAGTGACTCCCATGTTGAACTAATTAGCTCTATTTCTATGACTGTTCACTAGTCACATAATCAGGTGGTGGCAAAAAAAAAAAAAAAAAAAAAAAAAAAAAAAAAAAAAAAGCATTGTTTCCCAAACAGGCTCCTAAGTGTGCTCACACACAGAGATTGCTTTGGTTGGATGCAGTCTTGAGATTGGATGTGGATCTCACCCTACCAGTTAAAACTGGATGCAATTAAACTGGAAAAAAGCTGTTGCAGCACAATATGTAGGAAATTTTGCTACTTTTAAGTGGAAAAAGTTAGGGATAAAATGTGAACCTAATAAAATTATCAGTATGTAGTTTCTTCCTAGGAAGTTGTAATGAGTCTGAGACCATTTTAGGACTGTATCTATTTGCAGTGTTCCTGAACTCACTATTTATCCTTCCCACCATTTATCTAAATGCATTTGTTGAAACCCTAATATTTATCATGGAAGTACATCTTGATTCCAGTAAAGAAGGCACACAAAGCTTATCCTAAAGTACACAGACTCCTGTTAAATCTTCAAATCATTAATATTCATCTTTTGTTTTATCTGAGAAAATTTGGAATGGACAGTGATATTGTTGGAATAGAACAACAATTCAAAGTTAAAGTAACTACTTAGGAAAACAAAATAGCTATGCATTGTTTGCTAATGTACACAGCTACAGGAGTAGGAAGCCAGGGTAGTTAATTTTTACAAAGGGTCCAATAAGTGAATAAGGTCTATCAAAATGATAGAGTAGCAACTCCTAATAACTGTACCTGAAACAAAACACATTTTCAAAGCTCAAAGATGTTTACCCTCCATCATTTTGGATCCAGAGAGGGAGTGTTTAAGAGATTTCTCCTTGAGAGGGGAAAAAAAAATTATGCTTCCATAGTTGTAACTGGAGATACCACTTATTTGAAATTGAAAATGGCCTTGGGGATCTCTTTGCCACATTCTGTGTTGCAGAATTAGAGATGTAGAGAAGTTATCTTGTTAGAAGAAACACCACAGGCTTAAAACAATGTGTTTCTTGCTCCCTCCACATATTTAATAAAGAGCTCTACTCACCACTGTCTCTCATGGAACTAGGTGGGTGGGGACCTTAGCCCCTGAATCAGGAGTTTGGACAGTGCATTGCCTTTCAACAGCATCAGTGTTCAAATTTTTGTGTGTTATTATTTTTTCTTGGCAAACAAAAGGAATAGTTTGCTTCTCACATATTTATGAAAAATATGTTGTTCTATGCCTGTAAGTCAGGCAACAACCAGGGGGCTTAGATCCATATTTAAATATGGGCTTGATTATCTAAAATCAGCTTTATTCTAAAAATCTTTCATTTGATTAATACAGAGAGCAGGTATTGTTTCCCTTTTTGTATACAGATTATGAGAACAAAATATCATTTACTAATATGTGAAAATTTTAAGACTGATGAAAATTATAAGCTAAAGTCATAGAAATTTCAGTTATTTATGGGAATACCTAAGGGATTCATTTTAAAGTTGTGTGTCTGTATATGTGTGTATGCAGTTAGAGGACATTAGGTGTCTTCTATTGCATTCCGCCTCCTTCCTTTGAAAATTCTCACCATGGTTTTCCTACTGTGTTGACTCCTCTGTGAGCCTGCAACACTCCTGTCTCTTAAGGTGTACTTGATCTCTCCTTAAAGCAACAAAAATGCCCACCCTTTGTCTGCCAGAAGGTAAATCAATAAATCATCAGCGAATCAAGCAAAGAAAAATGAGATGGAATGAACCATGCACACCTGAATTACATTTTGGCACAAATTCTATCTTCCTGTGGTTTCCACATTTGAATTATTTCAATATTCACACTTGAGAGACTCCAGTTCGGTTTTTGTGGATTTTTTTTTTTTTTTTTCATTTATGGGACACTGAAACAAACACAAACTTAAGAGTTTGCCTTTTAAAGAAATATCGCTTAGGTTCTGATAATTCTTTTAAAATGTTCATTTACTACTCACTAGATTACAGATGAAATACATGAATAAAGTATTCTTTTCCATTTCAAAATATGACAAAATATTGTATGGAAAAGACACAGAAATCAGTAATTTCTTGCAGGAACTAGAAGAAACCATCCTGAGTGAGGTAACCCAGCCACAAAAAGACTAAAATGGTATGTACTCACTCATATATGGATTTTAGATACAGCAAAGTAGCAGCCTACAATCCACACCATCAGAGAAGCTAGGAAATGCGGACCCTAAGAGACATACATGGTCCCCAAATAAGGGGAAAGGGACAAGATTTCCTAAGCTAATTGGGAGCATGGCAGGGAGGGGAGAGGGAGCTAGAAGAAAAGGGGAGAAGTGGAGGGGAGAGGAGGGCATGAGGGAGCAGGAAGTCAGGGGAAGAGAGCCATTATAGGTTTAAAGAGAATTCTGGCACTAGGGAAATGTCCAGAGATCTACAAGGTTGACCCCAACTAACAATTTAACCAATAGTCGAGAGGCTACCTTAAATGCCCTTCTCAGATGAGACTGATGACTACCTTATATGCCATCCTAGAGCCTTCAGCCAGTAGCTGTTGGAAGCAGAAGCAGACACCCACAGCTAAACAATGAGCTGAACTCTGGAATCCAGTTGCAGAGAGTTATTAGCAAAGGGGTTAAAACCAGACTGGAGAAAAACACAGAAACAGCTGACCTGAACAAGGGATTGCTCATGGACCCCAGACTTGATAGCTGGGAAACCAGCATAGGAATGTTCCAGACCCCCTGAACGAGGGTATCAGTTTGGCGGTCTGGACAATTTATGGGACCTCTGGTGGTGGATCAGTATTTACCCCTAGTACACAAATGGACTTTGGGAGCCTTCTCCACATAGAGGAATACTATCTCAGCCTAGACACACTGTGGAGGGTCTAGGCCCTGCTCCAAATATGACACTTTCAAGATCCCTGGTGGAAGGCCTCACCCTCCTTGGTGAGCAGAAAGAGGTTGGGATAGGGGGCCAATGGGGGGCAGGGGAGGAGGGGAGAGGGAACTGTGATTGACAAGTAAAAGAATCTTGTAATTTTTTTTTTAAAGGAAAAAAATCAGTAATTTTAACACATTCTGAATTATGTAACTATTGACAGTAATGGAGACTTATCGTGTAGTGTTTTGGATTATGGAAGGCCTCAATTGAATCAAATTAAAAGATGGTATTTATACCACTAAATATAGTGGTACAGAAATCCTCAATCATGGTGCCAGCATGAGACTGAAGTTATGGGCATGTAACTAAATACCATGGTTTCAAGACTTCCTCTAAAGAGGACAGAGTGAAAGTACACCACAGCAACTTTAGACTTTACAGTCTTTTGGCAATAGAAACTAGTTCAGGCCAGTTATTGTAATACTCATCTCTGAACAGTTTTAGGCCGTCTTCAACACTGCATTCATTTAATTTTTCATCATTTATTTCAGTTATATACTCTATACTCAAACCCTAGAAACAAGTTTAAGTTCTATTTTCATTCTTGTGTGTGGCTGAATGCAGGTGTGGAGACCTTTGAGACAGGTCTTCAACTGAATTGAGATTCAGATACAGGTAAGCTTGAACTTGAGGGATCTACTGTTTCCTATCTACCACTCCTCACCCAGCTGTGGTTAAAGGCAGGAATCTCCACCCAGGTTCTCATCATCGAGTGCCAGGTATTATCCTGATGATCTCTTATACCAGCCCATATTTTTCTTGATCATCACAAGGAAGTGGTTTTGAGTACTTCTTTTGAAGTTTAAGGAAATTGAGGAAGGGCGCCTTGCTAACAAACTTTGGCCTGGATTTTGGGCCATGTATGCCTTTGTCCAAAACCCACATCCCTTCTTTGTGTACAGTTATGCAAACTTCAGGTTATCACCCCATCCCAACTTCAGTATGACCATTACTGAAACAACAGAAGCTTGTCCTGAAAACAAATCCTGGGGTTTGACTAAATACCTATGTTCTATCGTCTGAGGAATACCTGCAAAAGTCTGTTAACTTGCATCTACCAAAACACATTCTTTTATTATCAAGTCAAGTTAAAATTTTTTGATTACTTTTTTTTTCCTAGTGTAAATTATACTAACCACAAGGCTCTGTGAAATTACTAATGGTAAGCCACTGCTTATCCTTCTCACATTACTTATTTCAGAGAAGAGGCATTAAATATTCATGTCAGTTTATTTACAATTTTATTTAGTAATAAGAGTTCAAGAGTTTAATCCAATTTTCAGATCATATCTCTTAAACAATCTTCATTCTGAAAAACAAAAACAAAATCAATGGCATTAGAAGCCCATCTGACTTGCCAGTAGTTTCATATCTTCTATGAGTTTGATACATCAGAAAGCGTTTACAGTATCATGAGTTTTTCATACTGATTTGCTTCATCACATGTACCAAAACCTTGCATGAATTATGCTACCAAACCATGATGCATATGGAAAAATTCTTCTAAGCTACCAGCATTCAACATTTACGGAGATATAATAATATATATTTTCTTAATGCAGTATTTCTCAACCTTAGCAGGGTAATTTACTAGTACCATAGCAGATATCTTGGATCAATAGAAATTAAACATCAGAGCATATTCTTTCTTGAGATTTTCACATAATCTATAATTCATGCCTAGGTGTTAAAATTGAGAAAGTAACCAGGCAGTGGTAGCATACACCTTTAATCCAGCACTCAGGGAGGTAGATGTAGGTGGATGGATCTCTCTGCGTTGGAGGCCAGACTGGTCTACAGAGTTCCAGAGGAGCCAAAGCTACAGAGTAACCCTGTCTGGAAACAAACAAACAAACCCCCAAAAACAAAAGAATGAAAAAGTGGGGGCTGGGTGTTGGTGTTGCAGGCCTTTAATCCCAGCCTGGTCTACAAGAGCTAGTTCCAGTACAGGCTCCAAAGCTACAGAGAAACCTTGTCTCGAAAAACCCAAAATCAAAAAATGAATGAAAGTGATCCCTGCACAAAAGGAACCTAAGTCTGTAGGCCTGCAGCTTAGAAGCCACATGTACTCCAGGACAGCTAGAAATCAGTGGTTCTCAGCCTTCCTAATACTGTAACCCTTTAATACATTTCCTCGTGTTGTGGCGACCCCCTCCCCAAACATAAAATTATTTTCATTGTCAAGTCCTAACTCTAATTTTGCTAGTGTTCTGAATCATAATGTAAGTATATGTATTTTCTGATGGTCTTAGATGACCCCTTCGAAAGGGTCATTAGACCCCAAAAGGGCTCATGACCCACAGGTTAAGAGCTGATGATATAAATACAGCCCAACAGAAAATCTAAACTCAATTCATTTTGTTTTGGTTTTTTTGCAGGTTAGCCACTAAATTGTGGCGTTCCTTGTGAACTTTGTAGATGATGCCACTTTTTAATGTCAAAGGTTGGATGCCCCTAGTGTATTTTTATTTCATAAGAGTCAATTATTATAGTAGAAGACACAAGAGTGATTTATAAAGTGTGAAATTCAGAACAGTATTACCATACGTGGGAATCTTAGGCTAATGGTACTAGCTATGGATTCTTAGTAAACTTCAATGGGGTTTTAATATTACTCATCTTACAGGTTTGTTAGGGAATAGGTTCTCACCATCAGTTAAAGCCGTACTCCATAAACACTGACCTTCATCTATCAAAACAATAATTATGAGCTCGTCAGACTGCCTTTACCAATGTTTACTTACCTTCAGGAATCAGTACACAAAGATTTATTGTGTCCTGGAGGATTGTACAGGGTACACAACAGAAATTATGATTTTAGGAAAACCAGAAACCCAATTACCTGTTAGAGAGATGAATTAAATATCCTCATTTTTTGAGTAGTTGGTGCCTTACTATAAAGAAGGGAGCGGCAAATCCAGATCCAAAGTACACAGTCATCATAGCCAGTAACCACCACTTGTTTTCCACTGAAAATGGCAAATTCTGTTGGGAAAGCGAGGAAGCTTTAAGAACAGTCCTTCAAAGAATCTGATTTCACCAAATAAAAGGTACAGAGGGCAACTGTGTGTATACACACGCATTTTACAATCGGGTGCATTCGACAGAAGAGGAAATAAAACACCTGGGTTTTCTCAATACCGGTCAGTAAGCCCGACTAGGCCAGGAAGTGTAAGAAAAAAAATCGATTAAGTCTTGTATAATTAAAAAAAAAATCCTGAAAAGTAGTTACTTCAGAAACAAACACACCACTCTAGCTCACTGTTATTAGAAATTCTCCACCGAGTACAAGACAGTACCAACCACGGTTGGAAGCTTGGCTTTTTCACAGGCAGCCTTCCTCGTCCCCCGGCCAGGCCTCGCCTAACAGTGGCGGGGCTGTTAGTGACCACTCGGTTCATTCATACTCGGGCTAACCCGGGCCTGATACAGATTGCTGATCGAAACAGCTACCCCGCAGCCACAGGCCCCGTCTCCATTCTGTCCCAATGACCTTCACTGCTCGTCCGACCCGCCCAGATCCGCCCTAACCGACCGAGTCCCCCGGGCCCCGCGGCTCTGGGGCGGGAGTGTCTGGCAGCGGCTGGGGGCGCCGCGGGGGGGGGGGGCCCCGC